GTTACAAACCAGTTTGTAATTGTGCCAATATATGGTAGACTGTGCCTCCCTAAACCATGGTTTATCTATCAATCAGAATGCCAGGATAACTTGGAAAATGGGCTCTAAAAAGAAATTTCCAATCTTTTTCCCAAGTGCAGAGGAATAAAGTACATGAGATTCGTTGCTACTTGTCCTCCACAGTTTAATCTTCAGGAGATCATCTAAATCTGGGCAACACCCATTTAACAGGTTGGGCGCTTCCATGCTCCCTCCCAACCTCTCCTCCTAGAGTACAAAATAGGTTTGCAAGCCATCAACTCACAGAGCTAATATTTTCTAATATATGGGAAAAATTTTCAGAGAAGGAAAAAACAGTCCACATTTTAAAATTATTAATCAATTAATTTTAAATTATTGTATTAGTTTAAATATTCCAAGGCATGAAAAACTGTTTCTGAATTATTTTATTAGGGCACTCTAAAAGAAAGAGTGCACCTTAAAATTTGCTTTAATTTATTCCCAATAAAATATCTCAGGCTAAATAAAGGAACTCAAATTAGAGCTTAGGTCTCTCAACCAAGCAGTCCAAACAGTTATTTCTGAACAGCAAAGTTTCAGCTCAGATATTTTATATTCATTGTTCAAACTATACAGAGCATAACGACACTGAACAAAAAAAATTGTGTTCACTTTTACTCTAGCCAGTTTATGAGGTAGTGTATCAAGGGGTGTGCAAAGGAAAGAAGCAACAAATGAAGAGAGAGGTATGATATATTGGTTAAAGTGATAAAAAGTCTTAATGGGGGGGAAAGACATTCAAAAATCCTTAAGTAGTACAGCATACTAAAACTGTAGGCTTAATACGGGGAAGAAATTCAGTCATCCTAAATTAAAGAGTAAAAAATACCAAGGGTTATATCTACTGAAGATCCAAGTGCACATTTTACATTCATAGTATACTTATACAACAAAAACATTTACTGCATTATATAAACATTGTATGTTCAGTTATGAATACTGTACATATAAAAATGAAATTGTGTGCCATCAAGTCAATTTTACTTTATATGACCAATCTAGGATTTCTGAGGCATAAAATGATCAGAAGTGGCTTACCAGTCCTTCCTCCTGGTAGTTCTCTGGGACTGTGCAGCTTGCGCAAGGCCACACAGGTGATAGTGTCCAACCCCAATAGCCACATACTCTGCGTGATCTCACCTGTCTCCTCTTGTGGGAGACACAGTGGGGACACCTAAACCACAGTGAAGCACTTCAAACCACTGAGCTATAACAGCACACAAAAGCGTCATTTTGTTTTGCTTGCAAACAACTTTTCTCCATCTCTCATTAAGATGTTCCTCCATTTTTCATAATGCCGTTTTAACGGCAGCTTTTGTTTCCTAAAGATTTAGATGAGATCATTTCCCCCCCTTTCTCATATACACACTTGTTTAAAATTCAAAAGCAGCTGATGCAAAATAAACTGCCTCTCCCCCATGTATGGAGACTCTCTACATTATTGCTCAACTACAGCCAGCTATGCAAGAAAGTTACTCATATTTCTTAGTTCCTTACCTGGCTAACATCCTCTTGGGTTTTTACGTAGCAGGGATATGAGCAATGCTTAATCATAATGCCAGGATTTCACATCTTTAAACACTATAAGTCAACTTTGTCTATGACACCTTCCTGCTGAAGGCCATCTTAATACATCTGTGTCTGTGTCTTAGCAGGTACAACAGACCGTGGTATGCCAAGATATACAGACCCTAATATACAGTGCTTGAAGAACAAAAAGGGCAGACAGCTGCTTCCTCTAAGGGCAAGATGTGAAAGGAAGGAAGGAAGCAGCACTCTAGAAGTAGAATGCCAAAATTCAGATAGGCTCAACATGCCTTACAGCAACTCAGCTCAGAGGATACTTTGACCACAGGATTTATCAAGGAGGATGACAAAGGCAGATTCAAGGCCAGGCTAGCCTCTCCCCTCAGCAAGCACTATTCTTGTTCCTTACTGCAGGACAAAAGCACCAAACAGACCAGGATGAACTCCCAATACAGTACTGCCCCCACCCAGCAGAGATGCAGTGACAGAACTATCTTTTGTATAGACTGCAACATGGGTTGTAAAAAGAATTGCATTAATGAGGATGGCAAAACTATGGTTCAGAAAGAAAAACTTGCTCCAGAGAGGACTGAGAAGATGCCACCATAAAAACTATCCTTCTTCCAAACAAAGAAGAATTAAAATTGTTTGCTCAGAATAATTCTGAAGTTGTTCAAAACAGGTTTCAACTAGAAGTGGACAGATTAATAAAATAGATCAATAACTAGATGGTTTTATACTATGACTCCCAGAATTGCCAAGGTAGCACTCCTGGCTGGAGAACTCTGGAGCTGTAATACAAAAATGCAAACCTCCACACTTCTGAATGCCATCATATGATGGGCATTTCTCATAGAAAGGATGGAAGATAAGGGAAGCAAGAGGAATTTCTCAACCTGGCCAGAAGGGATGGCCAGTGCAGCTTCTTTCTGTTCCCAACAGGTACGTTTAGGAGTTGTCAAAGGTCTCAGAAGCTTGAGTGAACATGCAGCCACTTCAGCACCACCATGTGGGGGATGCAAATCTCACATCACTTGTTTCATCTTCCCAAGCCGCCTTGGGAAGCTCTTTGAGATGAATAGCTCTTTGCTAATAGATCACTATATGGGCACCCCCATGGTTCAGAGCTAGAAAGGGATCTGGTTCAAGAAAATGGGTTTCCACAGAAGGACCTCAAAGGAGCCACATATCACTCACAACTGGAGTTGGACAAGTTTCTTTGCACATTAAAAAATGGAGTATCACACGGCCAGATGAGCACCTGCATGTTGAAAGGGAGCTCTGTGTGAATACTGACATAGATGTGTAGAGAAGGCCCAGGGTGATAGGTGACATTAAACAAGCCCAGCATCTCTGTTTGCATACAAGATGTCTATGGCCGTACCACAACAGAAGAAACAAGTAGTTCATGTGCACCTCGTTAGGCTCAATATGCCTTAAAGTGACTTGCTCACATGATTTCTCAGGGATGGTGACAAAGACAGATTGCACCGCCAGACCAGCCCTGTTCTCTGTTCTTTACTGCAAGGAGATAGGACAAAACAGATCAAGGAAATCTCCCAGTACTGCCACCACTCCATGCGCCCTCACTCTTCAACACTGCACAAAACTTGGGTCACACCATTTCCTTTCCGCTGGTGATCTTTTAAAGTTGGTGGTGAGGGAGAGATGAGAAAGACCCAACTACAAAAGACTGAACAATTCACCAACTCACCAGTTTGCTCATCCACTCCACACTGTTGATAACACAAAGTGCACAGTACAGTTAATAAGTCCTTAAAAGGTGAGCTTAAGAAATGAACAACATCTGTTCTTCCTAGCATAAGTTTTCTTCACCTCCTGATGTCACCAATTAGCTTGCTTTCATTTTGTGGTTGGCTCCTGGTAGGTAACCACAAGTTTGATTTGCAACTTTGATTGTTTAGGGCACAGAGCTTTGAAAGAATCTAAAGGAAAAGTATGCTCTTGTTTTCTAACTGGGCACAGAGCTTTGAAAGAATCTGAAGGAAAAGTATGCTCTTGTTTTCTAACTGTGATTATCAAATATAGCTTGACCCTAAGCATCTTGAATTATAATATCTAGAACCACCACCACCCTGGTAAGAACTGTTACTTGCTCTAGGGCAGTGGTTCCCAACCTCAGGTAACCCAGGTGTTCTTGGACTGCAATTCCCAGAAACCCCAGCCAGCACAGCTGGTCGTGAAGGCTTTGGAAGCTGCAGTCCAAGAACAGATGGATTGTCCTAGATTGGGAACCACTGCTCTAGGGTGTTGGAACTCAGTGTATCTGTATCGACAAATTCTTGAATACATGGGTAACAAGTCTTCGCATCCACCAACTGTTTGAAGTTGTGAGACTGGTTGAGGCACTGAATTCTCTGGTCCTAATAATCTGTCCATGTCAGAGCGGACCCAGATTCAAGTTTTCACACCACGCAGATGTCAACATTAACCACCAACTGCCTAATGTATAAAAATCAGTAGGTGTAGTTAATTCCCAGCAGCAGAAAGAAAGAAAAAACAAATACTTCAATTAAGTGTCTTCCAGGAGAACAGGTCACTGGGAAACAAATACCGCCTAGAGTGGTCCATCGGTCCAAAACAAATACTTCAACTATTAAGTGTCTTCCTAGGAAACAAATACTGGCAATCCTAGGGTAGAAAGACCAATGTACCAGGAAGATTTTTTTCCCAGGGTAGAAATGAATTAATGAGAAAAGCTTCACCTGACAGATTTCATATAGGCCAGAGTTAAGGTACAAAGGCTTGAAGAGGAAAGATCTCTGCAGATCTTACAAAAGGGAATGCCTGTTTTTTGAAACACAAGGTTTTTCTCCACCTAAGTACTGTGAAAAGCTTCACCTGACTGATATCAAGATGGCAGGCAGCCAAGGAAGAAACCAAAGTACTATGCTGGAAACCTCACAAGGGAATGCTATTTGATTTTGCTAGCGCAATGAAAAAACCTTTTTCCCAACAGTGACCTGAAATGATGGGAAAAGTTTCCTTCGTATGACCTTTTGTTTGTGTAAGGGCAAATGGTTAGAATAAAAGACAGCCCTGACTGGAAGAAAATGTTGGCAAACCTACAAGAGGAAGCTTTTCACAACTATCTTTTACTAGGAAAAGTTTCTTCCTCGTGCAACAATGAAATGAGCAAGAAAGCTTTACCTGATGAATTTCTGCCAGTCAATAGGCAACGATGAGATAGGCCTTGCAAAATGCGGAGAGGGTGAGGACTGACATGAAGTCGAAGGGTTACTAGCCAGCAGTGGTGGCGGGGGACTGAAATGACCCCACTCCTTCAAGGTCCCTCAGGCTGACAACTCCCCCATCCCTCAGGAGAAGTGGGGAGACTCGGCGCGCGCCCCTCCCTCCCCCCCAAGCATACCCGCCACGCTTAGGATTATTACCTTCGCACAGGTATCCCGCCAAGCCCCAAATGAAGTCGGTGCAGTAGTGGCAGAAGGTGGGCTTGGTGAGGGTCACCCTCCTGAAGCAGTGCCCGGGCGCGTTCCCACGAGACGTCGGGTGCTGCTGCTTGGGAGACGCGGGCGGCGTCGGCTGAGCCCGCCGCAGCAGCGAAGGCGAGGACGACGGCGTGGGCAGCGAACGGCTCTTGCTGCCTCGCCCCATGAGGGGGCTCGGAGCCGGGCTGGAACCGCTGCTCCCGCCGAGCAAGGAACGGGCGCCCTCTGCCATGCCGCCGCCGCTGCCGCTTCTGGGGCTGCTTCTTCTTCCGCCGCCGGCGCCGCCTGGAGCTCACCGGGAGCGCCGCTTCTCCGTCTCGGCGGGATCCCCTCACGCCCCGTCCTGCGCCGCCTCGCCACCCAGACGGCTGCCTCCCGCCTCCGGGCCGGCCTCGAGGGACACAGTCGAGAGGCGCCGAAGAAGAGGCAGCCCCGCTCTTTCAAGACTTCCGCCGCGATGCCAGGGAAGCCAGAGGCGGCGGCGAGGAGGGGGGGGCTCGGATGGAGGAACCAGACCGACGAGGAGGGAAGGGAGGGACGGACGCAGAGGGCGGGGCTTCGAGGAGGCGGCGGCGGCAGCAGCAGCAGCAACTGCAGGGACTAGAGCCGCAATAACCGCCGCTGCCGCCTCGAGGCCGCCTCCTGCCGGGCTCGCGGCGACCTGGCGGGTGGGCGGGGCCAGAGGGAGGGAGGGGAGGCGGGATTCCTCACACGATATTGGGCAAGAGGAGCGCGGAGTAAAGCCCCAGGCTCTTGTGTTGCTACTCGGAAGACGGTCCTGACAAGAGACAGATTGGCGCGGGGAGGGGGGAGGAAGCCGCGGCGGGCCCGCGAGGTGGTGGGCTGGCGCGAGCCTCCTTAGTGTTACTCTCGAGTAAAACGGGGGGGGAGCATGGGCAGAGACTCTTCATCTTCTGTCCTCCCGGTGAGCAGGGGTTTATAAAAAGGCTTTAGAGCAGCGGTTCTTAACCTGGCTTCTTGTTAACGTGCAGTCGAGTCATTTCTGGCTTATGGCGATCCTAGGAATGAGGGATCCCCAAAATGTCCTGGCCTCAACGGCACTGCTCAGCTCTAGTAAACTCAAGTCTGTGCTTTCTGGCTTAGGAATGAGGGATCTCCAAAATGTCCTGGCCTCAACAGCACTGCTCAGCTCTAGTAAACTCAAGCCTGTGGGTTTCTTTGGGGAGTCAGTCCATCTTGTATTTGGTCTTTCTCTTCCTGCTGCTTTCCCCCTTTCTCTGGTATGACCGTCTTTTCCAGTGAATTTTGCCTTCTCATGATGTGCCTAAAGTAAGATAGCCTCAGCTTCAACATTTTTCCTGGTATGACTGTCTTTTCCAGTGAATTTTGCCTGCTCATGATGTGCCTAAAGTAAGATAGCCTCAGCTTCAACATTTTTGCCTCCACATATATTTCAGGCTTAATTTGACCTAGGACCCACTTGTTCCTCTTTCTAGCAATCTAGGGTATCCACAAAGCTTTCCTCTGTCACCATATTTCAAACTAATCAATTCTCTCTCACACACAAACCTTGGCTTTCTTTGCTGTCCACCTTTCACAAACATACATGGCTATCAAGAGTGTGGATGATCCTGGTCTTTGTCTCCAGTAAACTATCCTTACCCTTGACAATTTTTTCTAATTCCTTCATTGCTGCCCTTCTGAGTCCCAGTCTTCTGATTTCTTGACACCAATCTCCATTTGGATTGATAATTAAACCAGGGTATACAAAATCTTTCACCATTTTAATTCTTCATTGTTAATTTTAAAGTTGTGCAGTTCTTCTATAGTCCTAATTTTTCTCTTTTTCATGTTCAACTATGCACAGTCCTGCTTTGGCAGTGTCTTTCACTGTCACTAAAAGTCATTTCAAGTCCTTGCTGTTTTTTCCGATAAGATGGTGTCATCTGCATATCTTAAATTATTGATGTTTCTTCCACCTCTTTTTTGCACTCCTCCTTCATCTGAATCTCTCCCAGCCTTCCATATATGTTCTGAGTATGGATTGAGCAGATAAGGAGACAAAATGCTTTTGCCTCTAGGAAGCCATTCTGCCTCTCCATATTCTGTCCTAACAGGAGCTTCTAACACAGGTTAGACATGAGAATTAGACATGAGAATTATCAAGGGCTGAGGCACACCCATTTCTCTAAGAACAACCTGTAGGTTTTTTTTTGGGGGGGGTGACACCTTGAAAAACAGCTGACCCCGTTCCTGGAGTAAAACCATACCATAATGACATAATTTGTTAGAAAAGACTCCCAACATACACACATCCAAAGTAACTGGAAGATGTTTTTCAAAAAATACTCTGATTATTATCATTTTATCTGAAGACCTAGGTTGAAGAATTTCTTGTTCATGAGGAAATTCCTTTACTCTTTGTTAGGGATACTGAAAACCACATACAGCTCCTATGGGAGGGATTCAGCCCATGTTCAGAGACACTGAACACTTGAGGTCATTTTTAGAAACAGGAATTGTTTCTCTTCCAAAAAAGAAGGCAGCCTACACATCCCCAGAGACCCCTCTTTATCTCATGTTTTGTGTTTGTTCACCAGCTGCATTTTGCCAATGGAGGATGGGCTGTGCTTAGATGCCACATTTAAAAAAAAGCACACAGTAAAACTTCTGATTGTAAATCATGTGTCTGTTTTTAAAAAGCCTACCATTAATAGTAGGAGCCCTTTGAATTAATTCATTGTAATAGGTATGAGTAATGTTCCTGTCCAACACCCCCCCCCAGTTTTTATAGCCATAGTGTTAATAATACTGTATAACAGTAGTAGCAGCAGAAATTATCGGGGTTGAGAGGGACACCACAGTTCATTTAAACAATCATTTTGGCAACTATAGGACTATTAAACAAAATCCCAAACCTTGCTGCTTGGTTTGAACAGACATGATGTAATTCCAGGTCAGGGGTAGGCAAAGTTCACCATCTGCTTCCTTGGCTTTCTCTGCACCCACTTCTTTTCCCAGCAAAAGAAAAATAGAATTTCAGGTACTGACAGTTTCCAAGAGAGGTGAATCACTTGGTAAATACATAGTGAGGCCCATTCCTCCACCTTTTGAGACTCCAAAATACCCATCTTTTGAATCTAGATGTCGGCTTGTAACCATTTCTGATTTTTATCGGTTGTGGTTTGAGCAGTCTTTGTGGCCCTCTGAGAATCCTTTGGGTCAAAAAAATAATTCTGGACCTCTCAGGGTTGCCCACTCTAGTTCTTGGTAAACTGGAAGGGGAGGAATAACAAAGAATCTATCCAGTTAAATTGTATTTAGTGTCTGCTTCTGTACTTCCTGAAGTTGCCGGAGTTCTATCTTATAGTATCTCTCTCTACAAAATATTGTCTTTCAGTGATGTAAGCGGCCTTGGGTCCTTTTTAAGAAGAAAGGTGCGGTAATTAATTAATTAAGTCCAAAGTTGAATTAAAGAGATTGCAGTTCATTGCTGCAAGTATTATTATTCCTCATCCCATGTCCTGTTACAAGAGAACAAAGTTCTGCCAGTGACAGTTCAGGTTCATTTCAGATTGTATACAACAACAGACCTAAGTGTTATCATAATGTGATCTGGAAGATCTCAGTCAAACCCCACTCTGGTGAGCATCCTTTTGTCAAACTTGCTCTGAACATTTTCAGGTGCACACCTCAGAAGAGAACCTACACTGTACATAAATCTATGTGATGGCCATATAATGTGAAGCAGCCACTGTTAGGTAGGTGCTGAACACCCCTGAATAAAATAAGCTCTGAATCAAGGTTGGCAAGACTGAAACGGCTGTCTCGAGGAACAAAATTTGGGCTATTGTGAAAGAACAGCAAATAATCTTATTTACTTGGTTACAATCGTATTTTGGCTGCCAGGAATGGAAAGAGGTAGTTATGGGATAGCCTGCTTCATGGGGCGAAATAAATTGCCTGGCTTTCAGTATTGTACCATCTGACTTGGAGCAATTGCTGTTCTGTTTGAACCAGCAAAATATCATGTGCTGTCCCCACCCCACCCCTTCTGTACTAATCACATTTCATCCCCAGGAGAGGTAAGGGAGGTTTTGTGAGGTTTCTGTATGCCAGAAAAATAGAGGGAAGTTATGCTCTCCTTCCCCCATCTCCCAGACAATCGGTGGCACTACTGTTTGCAAGATGCTGTTGGTAGATAAGCACAATAGTTATGTAAGAGCCAGTCTCAAAGCACAGTATTAAAGTATTAATTTTCCTTTACATGCAAGATGCTTTTTATATTTCTAAATTCATCATACCATCAAATGGGGCTTGTCTTTTCTTAGATACAGAACTCACAAATATGCTTCTTCTCAAATATCCGACCTCCTGTTGCCCTGTGGCAATGGTAACGTTCAAGAAAGTTATATGTACTAAACAGATCATACCTAACAGGTTTTAGAAAACATATAAATTACACATTGTAAGAAATGAATGTTTGTATGTATTTAAAGTAACCATGGTTTGAATGTGATTGTTTGAGTGCTAGTCAGAAACTCCTCTTTTGTTTTGGTGAATCAAGTCGTTTTGTTGACAATTTCTTACATGGATTGGCAGTGTTACACTTTCCATATTTTATTTATTCTAACCCCACCTGACGGGAGTAGCTATGGTGACAAAACTGAGATGCCCAGGCACTGCTATTATACAAGCAAAGTCAGCATAAGAAAATGCTTGACATTTCCTATTTCTGAGCTGAGCCTGAAATGAAGAAACAATCATTTATATTAGACCTCTGACATGAGATTATTTCCAAATCATCTTGAATCAATTAAGATGATGCTTTCTTACACCTCTGTCTACATACCAGGGTAAGAACTCAGAATGAAACCTTCTGGACACCAGTAGCTGTGAAAAAGCCATTTGTAGCTAAATAGGGTAGAGACAATACAGAACGTAAGGATCCATGGGAATGTTTGATGTATGAAAATAGTGATGTAGATGGTTTCTTCTCAAAGCAATCTAGTATGAGTGAAATCTAAATGCAGGATAGCGTACACATATTGGGTCCAAAAACAGGGCAGTTAAAGCACACATCTTTTCCTGTTACTATTATTTTAAAACCTGACTTTGGAGGAATGCAGAACATTATTTAATTAATGATACTGAATGGTAGGGAGAATCTTACCAGCTTCCCTAAATGTCTGATCATGAGCAGAAGTGTAGTAAATTTTCCTCATTACAGACTATCATCCATGGTGGCTTACTTCATGAGTATAAGGACAGCAAGACAAATACTGTTTTGTATTGATGTTTCAATTTGAGAATTTGTAAGGCTGATAACACCTAGGCTCCTTTTCTTACTTCACATTTGGTGTGTCTGGCAGAAAGACCACTCCGTATAGCTGATGCCATAACCTGGTAATTGTATCCTGTTTATTACAGTTAATTTATTGAATTTGTCTATTGCTACCAAGTCCCCAAAATTATAAAGGCATTGTGACGATTGCCCCACGTCACTCCTGTCTCTCATAGTCAGGATCTCATTTGCATGAGCCTATGAGAGGATTGGAGAGGCGGAGTCAGTGGATAAAAAGGGTTAGAAGATAAAGA